AGGCTCTGGAACTCCATCCCCCAGTGCCTTCGCCGCCTCCTCCCTCTCCTCCTTCAAGGCCGGTCTCAAAACCTTTCTCTTTGACCGAGCCTTCAGCTCCCCTCTCGACTCTCTCCCCCCTCCTCGCTCCCTCCCTTCCCTCCCCTCACCCTGACCATTTCCCCCCTGCTCGGGTCATGACCCAACTGTGCAGCGCCTTGGGACATCCTCCTGACGTGAAAGGCGCTTTATAAATGGAATCTTGTTGTTGTTGTTGTTGTTGTTAACTCGGACCTGAATGCTGGTTAACCATTCCCTCGGTGTATTTGACATTTCATCAGTGTATCGCCAATGTGATTGTTACTGAAGCTATGAAAGAATTCAATAATAATTCTGCACAAGATCCCCCAAATATTCTATTCACACAAACGTACTAATGCTAAGCAAAATCCATCTTGTTCAAGTCACCCTGTTGCCCAGGTGCTTTTCTTGCAAAACTGTAAATATCATGAATATTATTCTAATCCTTCTATTGGTTTTGTTTTTTCTTTTTGAGGTTTGCTGTGCACGTGGGAGTATATCAGTGTGTGTGTGCTTCTGTGCTTGTGCAAATTCTTCATTTTTAATAAAAATATAACAGTTTCAGGCAGGTAGATTCATCGACCCTACTCAATCACCTTCTTAAATTACTACTACTGTTCTAATACTAATAATAGTAGTCCTGTATTTGATGTAGCAAGTTCACATGAGGAAGATATCTCAAAGTACTTCACATGATTTACTGGAAAGTGGAATTTTGTATTTTGTATCATAAAGTAGCCCTGAATCTTTTTTAATTTTAAAGAATATGTCAGATTCTTTTTTGAAATCCTGTACAGTCTTTTAATTGTGTTTGATCCCTGATGCTATAGTACTCAGTATTAATTCCTATTCCCTGACAGATAGTGTAGAGAAATAGATGTATCCATGTTGCCTGGTTCTCCATAAATCTTATGCCTTCATACAGTCTGGTGGGTACCATTTCTATTCAGTGTTAGGCACAGAACCTTTGACGATGCATAACTATAATGAGAAAACCCATTAAAGACAACATTGCTAAAGGCAATGCTTGCAACAGAATTTTTATCCCTCGCATTTCAGCTGACACCTGATCTGGCCATTTTTCATCCTTTCCCACTTTAATATCCATCATTTTCATCCTCTGCTGAATTTGGAACTGAACCAATTCTCTTTGAATGTTTCAATGAAGTTAATGTTTACAGCAAGAGGTCTCAATCTAGTCCATGATTGATTGAATGAAGAAATAATTGTTCATCTGGGGTTTAACTTAACTTTATAATAAATCCATTGAAATGCTTTGAGACATCTTCCTGATGGGAAAGGTGCTTTATCTATTGCAAGGCTTATTATTTTTGTTATTAATAATTTGCATAAAGCATGACATTATTATGTTATAATTAAGTGCAGTATCCTTTTCATCAGAGTATGCTTGTCACTTTAAAGGAATACATTAGAACTGGGCCTTTGTTGATCAGAACATTACCTCCATCTATGATTGTCAGACTGGCTTCATTATTCAAATATTGTGTTTTCCCACTGTTGCTGTGTACGCCCATGAGTATTGGATGCACATTTCTAATTTTCCACTAATTAACTAAATCATTTCTAAATTATCTGCATGTCTCATCAGCATACATTAATTCATAGAGCTGTACATGATCAGATCCCAGTCTTGATACCAATGATACTCAGAACTGAAGTTACCAATTTTTAAATATTCTCCACTTATGTCAACTGAAGACTTGATAGAGGTGACCATATTCATTGCACTTCTTAATATTCTTTTTTTGAAGCAACTATCTGAATCCCTTTTAAACATAATAATACTTGCATTTGATTTAGGGCCTCATCATTCTGGCAAGATGTCTCAAAATGCTTCACAGGATTTCACTGTAAAGTATAGTGACTGTATTTTCCAGGCAAATGCAGCAGCAAATTTGTGTACAGCAGTGTCCCATGAAGTAAGTGATCAATTATATTTGGACACCACGAGAAACTAACTTTTTTTTGAATAGTGCAGTGGGATCTTTAACCTTGGGACCTTGCTTTAATGTCTCATTCGAACGACAGCACCTCCAAAACTACAGTGCTCATCCAGCACTGCTCTGGAATCCAGAATTCCACATTTCAATCACCCTCTTTAAAGAAACGTTTTCTAATCTCACTTTTCTAAACATAAATTTGTCCCTTCTTTTTACTGTGGAAATAATTTATTACTATTTATCATATCATAACCCTTTATAAGATGTTACCCATTAAACTTCTCAGATACATAGTGAAAAAGCTCAAAGTTCTCAAATCTCTTTATAACTGAAGCCCTTCATCCCTGGTATCATCTTAAAGAGTCAACATTGAAACTATTATATTTATTTACTTCAATTGATTTAGGGTAACCCTGGTCATCAAGCAAAATGTAACAAAATAATGTGCTGCTTAACTCTTTACACGTTAGCCTGGCTCATTTGGTAGCTTATGTGATATCACTTCTTAGACAGAACTCTGTGCATTCAAGCTCCACGTTGCAACCTTGAACTCAGTCTAGGCTGATACTCTAATGCAGCATTTGAGGAATTTCAAATGAAATGTTAAACTAGGGCCCCTTCTGTCTGTTGTGTTGAAGGTCCCATGGTCATATTTACAAAGAGAAGGGAAGTTATCCCAGTGCCTTGGCCGACAATCCCTCCCAGATAAAAAAAATTGGACATTTACTTTATGTTTATTTGTTGTACATTGCTGTACATAAATTGGCTGCTGGATTTGCCTACAAAAATTACAGTCATTACAGTTTATAGTAAATCCTGTGAAGCATTTTGAGACATTCTGATGTAAAAGGCACTTTATAAAATCCAAGGATTATTATTTTTTGTTATAAAGTACGTAACTTCTAAATCAATCTCTTTTTTAAAAAAAGGTTTTCTGGATCTGACGGCATTCGTAGAACTATTTCAGGGAAAATCATTTTGATCCAGTTTCAAGTTTTTAATGATTCAAAGAGAAGAAAAACAGAGTAATTTATTTCATCTCATGGATGTCTGAATGGATCTGAATGATAACCCAAGCCATCTAATAGGAAACTCTTTATGGTGCATTAAATAATAGAAATGTGAGGAAATGGAGGCAGTAGGACCTGTCACTGCTACAGTGGGATTTTACAGATGGCCAAAGTACAGCAGCAAAATAACAGCTTAAAAAATAGAATGCCTATACTTCATAAACGTTTGTTAAAGTTTAACTTTTGAGTTATCAAAGCTGTTTTTTGTCTCAGTGTTATCCAAGATACAAATAAGTTGCAGAATAGAAAAAAGAACAGATATACTTCATCTGTTACGTTCAACTGTAGCAGAAAGATCTATGAAACAAATGAACACTGGGTTCACTATTACCTTATTATTTCACATCATGTCAGGATCATATCATTTGCATGGTGATTTTAAAGAGAGGCATTTATGAATTCTCTTGTCTGGCTCGCGCGAGCGCCTCCACACCTCAGGCATTGGCAGCATCAGCATCCACGGTTGCACACTCCACCTCACCAAGCCAGTCAGGAACCTGGGCGTCTTGTTCGACCCTCAACTGTCCTTTCTCCCCCATATCCATGCCATAATCCCGTTCTGCCTTCACCCACCTCCACAACATTGCCCGACTTTGCCATTGCCTCACCCCTCAGGCCACCAAAACCCTCATACACGCATTCATCATCTCAAGGCTCGACTACGGAAACTCCCTCCTTGTCGGCCTCCCCATCTCTTCCCTCCACAAGCTGCAGATCATCTAGAACTCTGCAGCTCATGTCCACTCCCGCTCGAGGCTCCGTGACCCCATCACCCCCACCCTCGCCCGGCTCCACTGGCTCCCCATCCCTCAGAGGATAGAATTCAAAATCCTGGTCCTCACTTTCAAGGCCCTCCATGGCCTTGCCCCCTCCTACCTCTCTGACCTGCTGACCCCCTATCAACCTGTCCGCTCCCTCTGCTCAGCAGGCTCCAGGCTGCTCCAGGTCTCCCGCCTGACCCACCCTACCATCAGGGGTGGGCTTTCAGCCTCTCTGCCCCCAGTCTTGTTCAACAATATTGTATTTGTCTGTCTTTTCATCAATATGGTGGGTTGTGGCTTTTGTTATTGTCTGTGAATTTTCTTTGTAGCATTTAACCTGTTTCCTTAACAGTATATATCTAATGTAAGAGTACCGTCAGTAAATACCAAAATACAATTTGTACTTAAACTGGGAATCTCGACTAGGATTGCTCAGTGAGTGTTGTGCCAGTTATTATCAAACATTTATTAAATACTGTACATTCCATAGCAAATTTAAATCTGTTTTTCAACTATGCTAACCTTTTCTCTGTACTTTTCCTCTAAAGTTGCTGACTCTTATTAAGTGTGGTTTAACAAGGAAACTTTTTGTAACTCACCCATGTGGCTATTCAGTCGAATCATTGAATGTCAGCAGGCGTCACAACTGAACCCAATCGTGTTCTCCTTCGGTAGCATATACATCGTACATTTTCTTTAAAGGCAACTGGCTACTGATCTGGAGCAGAGATCCTAGCAGATTTATTTTCCTCTCTATAGCTATAGCTCATTGTAGCTGTAAGTGAACCTGTCCTGCTGCCCTAACTAAGTTTAGATAACTCTGCAGAAATCAACGGGTTGAAGCTGAGGCCTACATAATTTATATTGTTCAAGATCACACAGTGGATATAGCACTGGGAAACTCACTGAGAAGTTATTGAACTACTAGTAAATTGGCCAGGTTGGTCAATAGGGATGAGGGCTTACCTGGGAACAAAGGACTATAGGAACAAGTTATTAAATACAAATAATACTTATTGAACTTGTATTAAACTATACTTACAGAAACAGAAATGTGATTTATTTTATGGAGTCAAGAACTTTAAAAGGTATATGATTTTATTTCATGTCAGGCATTTGTGAATTAAAGGTGTTTTCATTTCTGCTAGGTTCACATGCAGTGGAGGCTCAGGGCAGAAGGTTTGAAATAAAAACAGAAGATGGCAAGAAGGTGCTGTTTTCTGCAGATGAAAATGAAATCAGTATTGGTGTTGAAAAGCTACGAGTGACAGGTAACGCACATTCAACTCAATAAACCATTTTTTTCTTTCTTATTGATCTATTTGTCTTTTACCAAATCCCTCATTAAATATTAAACGCTTGTTCAAGTTGCTGTTGAAGTAAGCCTAATGCTGTGTTGCCAAGTTTCATGAATAGTGATAGAGCACTAGATTTGGATTACATTACTGAGAAATTTAATTTTGGACTTGTCTTTATTGTATATGCCTTTGCACAGAAATCTTGAAAGTGTTTATAATCTGTTTTGTCAAATTTTGAAAGAATAAACAAATAATTGCATTTCTAATTAGTGGAAACATCTTTTGTTAGCAAATTTGTATTGAAATAAATGCTATAAAATCCATACAGGGTGCTTTATAACAATCCACAGCTGTTAAATAATAATAATAATAATAATCCTTGCATTTGATATCAGGCCATATCAAGTCTTTGAGACATCAGAATACATTAAGTGAATTGACTGTATATTATGTGGCTGAAATGCGGCAGCCAATTGTGCACAGCAATGTCCAACAAACCGTCGTTAGATTTAGTGACCAAATTATTTTTTTTGAAGGGATTATTACCCCTGGAAAAGTGATCCACCATTCGACTAACAACCGGGTTCCTACTTACTGCTAGGTAAACAGAGGCGTGTGGAGAAAGGAAACTTGCCTAACGTTTCGCTCTGCTGGGAATCGAAGCCAGATCCTCTCACTTGCGAGGCGAGTGTTCTAACCGATATACTACAGGACTCCACAATGAAAGTTATAGTACTGAAAGTTATGAGAGAGATATTAAATACATAAAAGCTGGCCTATGACAGATCCTGGCAAGGAATATATTTGATTATTTGTAAATAAAAACAATTTGAATGGCTTGAAATTATTTCATGTTGGGCTGATCAGCCATATTCAAGTGACGCACAATGGTGGCAAATCTAGATTGAGTCTGTACCATTGTAGCTATTTACTAACTTTGGTCAAGCTGAGGTCTTTTGTCTTGAGCGTGGATGACTTAGAGGGGCCTTATAGAGGTATATCAAATTTTAATGAGATTGAAAAGGTAAACTCAGATCAATACTTTAGGATGTATCAATACAGTAGAACAAGAGGACTTAGGTTCAGAGTTGTAAAGGGCAATTTCAGGACAGATACCAGGAAGGTTTAAGTGCTCCGAGGTATTACTCCGTGTGAAGGGTGCTATATAAATGCAAGTTTTTATTGTTTTTCTTTATGGTGATGAAAGACTGGAACAGATTGCCAGGAAAGGCAGTAGAGGCCAAGATGCTGGACTCATTTCAAAAACAGCTTGATGCTGTGATGGGGGTGACAGTGGGGTGGGTGTTCTAGTGGGATACGATCAGATTGGCGAAAGGGCCTGCTTCATCCAGATCAATCTTGTGATTTTCAGTTTCAGTGCATTATTGCAACCTATCTGTGACTGATTTTGCTATATGTTCCATGTACCTTTAAATCTAGTGTATTCACCTTTATTGCTCTTTCATTTATATTATACCTTATTGACACTGAGTGCTGGGAGGGGTGAAAATGAGATCTGTCATAACAGATTCAATGTATCACACTGAATCTATCAAAAAAAAACTTTTTTCACTTTAACTTAGCAAAGAAACATTCTTCTTTCAACTAAACTATTCATTAATTAAAAACTAGCACAAAATTCGTCATAAACTCTTCACTAAATGAGTTCTGACCATTTCCCCCCTCCTTGCTCCCTCCCTTCCCTCCCCTCACCCTGACCATTTCCCCCCTCCTCGCTCCCTCCCTCCCCTCACCCTGACCATTTCCCCCCTGCTCGGGTCATGACCCAACTGTGCAGCGCCTTGGGACGTCCTCCTGACGTGAAAGGCGCTTTATAAATGGAATCTTGTTGTTGTTGTTGTTGTTGTTCTCTAACTCCCTGCTAACAGTCCAAAATGAACACAATTGATTTCTGAAACGTCATGCTAACTCCAATAGAGTCTCAGTAGAGCCACAGAAAATATTTTTTAAATAGAAAGCTGACACTGTGGTTACACAGCACCACAGGGTATCTCACTTGTTTCTACTGTTTACTTCATTACACTGTGCAGGACTATTCTGACCTTACTTACTGTGGTTCGCATGCACTTTGTAGAGCTACTTAAATAGTGCCACCTGCTGGTACCTTTGAGGAAACAAGGACAACACTGAAAAATACCATTGGCTCAATTTAATTCTCAGATTGTCAACCCATTTCATAGTTTGTGCCAAAGGTTGATATTGGTGGTCACTGAGCTTTATTCTAACTGTTTTGTGCATTTGTGGCATGAGTACTATATTTGTTTTTGCTTGAATGTAAAAATGCATTTCATATCTACTTCCTATCCTATTGTTTTGGGCAATCTGTAGCTGTGTAAACAGTGTCACAAGGTATTATTTGATTTGTGATTTGATATTGGCAGGCAGGTATTAGAGGCACCAGGACACTTATATTGTACAGCAGCTTTGGGATCTATTGATGGAAACTAGTATCCAAAGAAAAATGAAAATCTATGAGCAGCAATAACACAAGATACGTTTCAGAATCATTGTTGTACCAATTACTGTAGAGAAGTAAGAAATCTGTGAAGTAATTTGAGACATTGTAATAATGTGATAAGGCACAATATCAAATGCAAGGACTATTATCATTAGTATTAATACCGTCTTTCAATTTCAAAGTCAATCCAATCAAAGTAGCAATCAATTAACATGTTTACTAATTGCCCTTTATTTTCATTTCACTGACTATTCTCTTTCTGCTTTAATATTGATTGAATTTCTTAGCTTGGTATTTAGCATCTCAATTGAGTGACATAGAATTCGCCTTTAATCTTCTATGAAAATGAAGGGCAAACTACATTTTCCCCCTTTAAATGCTAGGACCACTTATTATCATATCCTGGCCATCCAATTCCTGAGATAAAGTTGATTATTCATTTCATGGCTGTTTGTGGGACCCTGCTGTGCACAAATTGGTTGTTGTGTTTCCCTACAAATGCACAATTATTACAGTAAATCTTGTGAATCTTGTAAAACTTTACAGTAAATCTTGTGAAGAGATTGGAGATGGCTTGACAATGTGGTATGGGACATCATCAAATGCAAGGATTATTATATTGTTATTCCTTATGAAGGAGTAAGATGCTAATTGTTTCCTAAAACTGATTCACATGAGCATATCTGAATACTACTTTACTGAAAGGATTCATGTCCTTATTCATCTGCCAACTACCTCACTCTCTCTACAAATACCACCCAAACTCTTACATTACTTTGCTCTTTTATCCAATCCTAGTATTTCCTTCAACATGATATCATCTTTTTCATGATCTCCACTATTAAACTTCTAACCTCACTCATATACCACGTTCACATCTATATATTATCAATAATCTTTCTCTTCCCAAACAACAATTTTGAAGATTGAATGAGGAGGCAACATGTTTGACATTATGGTTGTTCACATCAGTGCACCAAGTATTATGCTGGTCTGTGCTGTTGGAAGCTCATCTTAGTGGCATGATCTATGGCTCTTCTTGGTTGTGTCCTTTTGGCTTTGGCTTGTAATATTAGATTGGAGAACAGGTGATGATGGAAGCAAAGAGCAATGTGGACACATTTTCTTTCCAACCTGGTCTTGATGAAATACTGGTATGTCTGCATGCTCCTTCGATCAGCTTTGGAACTAGAGCTGGTATTTCTTCAAAGCTAACTGTAAACAATCTCAAATGGCTCCAGTAGTAAAACTTGGTTTAAAAAGCAACACATGAAAATCTAACCATTGATTATCATATGTTGCACTCCTTTCCATCTTATAATAATAAAATAATAATAATCCTTGCATTTGATATAGCGCTTTTCACATCTTCTGGACATCTCAAAGCGCTTCATAGAATATACTGTAAAATGAATTGACTGTAATATTTGTGGGCAAAATGCGGCAGCTAATTGCGCACAGCAGTGTCCCACAAACAGTCGTGGATTGAAGTGACCAATTTATTATTTTTTTTTCTTGAGGGATTATAATCAGGCGTGTGGAATAAGGAAACTTGCCCAAGGTTTCGCCCTGCCGGGAATCGAACCCGGGTCTCTTGCTTGCGAGGCGAGCGCTCTACATTTTTTACATCGACACAGAAATGTCTACTGGTCACCCTGTATCTGAGGATGCGTGAAATATACGGAATTAAGCCTGAGGTATAAAATCCTTTTATTTAAGTCAAAGTCCCAAGTCCAATATTACTGCTACATTTAAATCTCTATAAAACTGGATAGTTACAACAATGCAATCATTTATGGAATCCAAAATAATTTGGGGAGTCATTAATGAGCTGAATTGCCTCTTTCTCTTGCTCTGCTCACAACCTCTTCAGTTGCCTATTGCATCAACTTCTCATTCATAATACTGTAAATCAAACTGAGGCAGCTATTCCTAGATACACAAATGTAAGAAGTTATACTCTGCTAGTTGGAAAAAAAGGGGTATTGAGAATAACATGCACTGTTCTGTAAGTTCTCACGCACTCTGTCATGCAAGAGTTCCACATTTTCTGAGGCGTAACATCCTGGGACGATGTAAATGTACATAGTCCCAGGATTTAAAGTACCCTATCACATCAAAACATCTCAAAATACTCCACAAGAAATAGTTGTCAAGTAATAGTATCAGTGAATCTCTATTTGCAAAACAGCCAGTCAGGACCTTGATTCAACATCTCATTTGAACAATGGAATATACTGTAATGCAGCACTCTGCATGTTTAAGCATAGTTTAAATCCTTTTATGTAACTTGAAACCACTATCTTTCATCCAAAGGTCAGATGAAGAAAACCTTTGGCCCATTTGATCTTATCCTAACAAAATATAGGTGTGGATGTTAATGATTGGTATAAAAACATAGGAACAGGAGTAGGCTATTCAGTCCTTTGAGCCTGTTCCGCTATTTAATTAGATCATGGCTGATCTGTACCTCAATTAATCCTTTCAATTCCAA